CGAAACCCATAAATAAGACATAGTATATGTAAGCCATAGTGTATATTAGGGTCTGTAGAGGTTACTCAGCTTCATCCATGCATGTGGGGGGGTTTCCAGGCGCTTCCAGGCCGTTCCAGGGGGCTCCAGGAGCCTCCAGGCCCCCCAAAAACGTACTGCCAAAGCCTTTCATGCGGGATGGTACGAGGCCACCCACTATGGCCGGGGGGGGGGGTTGGCCACGGTTGAGGGGTCTGCAAAGGGGGAGTAAAGGTTTTTTTTAAGGGATCTGAGCGCCCTGAGCAATAGTACAGTGCGGGTTGCAGCTGTGCCGAGAAGAGCTGCAGTGCCGGCTGTCCAACAGATGCAAAATCCATGGCGGCCCAACAAACGAGTACAGTTGGACTTAATCTAGCAAGCTTGCAAGGCTGACGCAGGCCATGTAAGCTGAAAGGGAAGGAGGAAACATACTGATATCCCGGCTTTCTGATTCTAGCTCAATTGTATGTCCAACTTCCTGCAAGGCTATGACACTCCACTGAGCCATTCGCACAGGTCCAACTAGAGGGAGTCTCAAGTCTCAACAGTCTCTGAGGCACTTCTCAAAAAATACCACCCTGGACATCGCATCCGAGGCATTGAGGCCCCAAGTTTAGTCTTTAATGAGCATGGTGCTGCTTGGAGCTGCTTAGACTCAGGTGCATGAAAGTTTGATGTGTGGACCTGCTGATTTCGCTTTTTGCCCTTTACCTCCTTTGCAGCCTCCGTTTGCCGACGAAGTGACGTCGTTCCTTGCAGGATACCGCAGGAGCCTGAGCTGTGGTACTGATGTCATTGAGAAAATTGTCGATTGTGGAATCCGCACGCAGCCAGAATGAGCTCATGACTTTGGCCCCTCATCTGCACATGCAGGAATGTGGAATGTGCAAGATGATGCAAGCATGTCTTGGATCGCGGCCCATCGCAAATTCAGCTTTGAATCAGCTTTGAATTCCATCTTGCAAACGTCCGCGCTATGCATGAAAACATAAAATGGTTCAGAAGTCTAGCATGCAAAATCTGCCAATCCGTCACAGCCGTGCGTGTACCTTCCAGAGCTCATGGCCATGCAGAGGCCAACAGATCTTACGCTTACGCACGCCAGGAGTTGCGTGCGCAGTGTCAGGCATGATGAGCTGAAGCTTGCGGAAGAGGTCGAGGATGAGCTGGAGATGGACGTTTGTGCACATCCAGCAACTTGTTCAGCTTTGCATCGGCGAGCCATGGTTGCAGAGAGTTGCAAAGTGCAGCATGTGCAGCGCACTGCGTGTCAGACGGTTCCTCTGTAAATATTCAGCCGGTGTCCAACTTGATTCCCGCGCTTGTGAAGGGCTTGCTGATGAGCAGATTTGTTCAGAACTTTCTCGTTTCTCCACTTTCAGAGCTTTGCACAACGCTGACCCATACTCCATCTGATATCCTGGGTAGCTCTTGCTTCCTGCCACAACCTCAGAGGCACATGGAAGATATTGAACATGGTTGCTGCGCTGGTGGTATGCAGCTTGGTGCTGGCCATTGCATCGTTCCTGGCATTCTGGTGGTGCCGGCCACAGCACTGGGTGGAAACATGTGAAGTTTGACAGCCCAATGGTGAGCCGAGACCATGGCTTCTGAGGCTGCCGGAGTGGTCTTCCTACGGGCATGGCGAGCAGGCAAAGATCTTGCATTGCTTTTTTCTGCCCACTTATGGAACACAGACACAGATGGAGGCACTGTCAGTGTCCAGCTGTTTCATACGGCAACGGGCTTACGGAAGCTTTTTCTCTCAAAGGCAGGTCGTGCTGCCCAGAAACCCAGTATGCAAGGCCGACGTTCAGCCTGAATGATGTAGATATTGTTCGGGACGTTCGTGGCCTGGCTGAATGATGCCGCCTTCAGGAAGAGCTTGGCAGTCTTGCTTGTGCTGCCTGGGTCTGCCTTATCTCAACGAGGCTACGGCGGTGCAATCAATCCTTTTGCAGGCCAGGATTGTGCAGGATGGAGGCATTGTTGTCCTCAGATTCGTGCAACCTTTGCCGGCTGCTGGTTTTCGCAGTTGTTCCATGGAATTCTGGAGTCTTGTTGGATGTGGCCGTCAGGCAAGTTCATAGATCTGTACCTGGACCTCTACAGCCCCAGAAAGGACACTCGCCTCGCCCGCCCCGCGGTTGTCCTGCTACATGGTGGGTAGCTTGGCTCTTGCTTAGCACGCTTTTTGCAAGAGCAGGCTCGTCTGACATTGATGTTGAAAGAAGGCAGTGGGGCTAAACGTGCCAGCTTTGCGAGCCATTGACTTTGCATTCCTACGATAAGTGAGTGCAAGCGAGAGATCCAGAGTTTGCTGCAGCCGTAGCAAGGTATTTCACATCAGGCCAGGCAGGGATTTTGGCAGCAATGCTGCTGCAACTGTAGCGGCATGGCTTTTCTGGACCTGGCTTCGTGCAAGCATACCAGCGTGCCACGTCAGGAAGCAGGGACGGTGACTCCCTTCCGCAGCTGGCAATGCTTCTGGCGCAGCGAGGATATGTGGCCAGAGTCTAAGCAGTGGCTTGCCGAAGATTCGGGCACAGCTCAACGCAACAAGGTAGTAAGCATCGACTATCGACAGATTCCAGCCAGGAGCCTGAGCTTTCTATCATCCATAGCGGCTGCACAGCATCTCAGTGAGGTCAGTCAGATATCCTTTGACTTGGTTACCAAAACTCCAGACAAAGCTAGGCACATTGCACGGCTCCCAGCTTCGCTTTGCAGCTGGTCATGCCTGACGCAATGCTCACCTCCCAGGCATTCTTGTGAGCTTTGCGGTATACTTGGCTTCATCCAGGTCTCAATGGTGCAGGAAGATGCGCGAGCGGCTGTTCGGTTCCTTCACAAAATGGCCCAGGAGGGGCACATGTTGCTCGCAGTCGTAGGAGGTCTGATTGGATCATGAGGCAGCTTGTGTCTGTTGACCAGCCTAAGTACGGCTTGGATTTTCAGATGCGAAAGGCCTGGCGCATTGACGTGCATCGTATCGTGCTTGGAGGCACAGGGATGATCACGAGCAAAACGCTGGCTGTCAAATGGATGCCGTTCTAAAACCCCCGCCCGTTGTGGCAAGACTACGTGCGGCACGAGGGTTTGCCAGGAGGTGCAATATCAATCTTGCGCATGGGCGGGCGCAAGAACAAATAGTTCCTCATACATGTTCTTAAGCCAATATGTACACACAGTGTTTAAAGGTGTTTAAACGCCCACTCGCGCAAGACGGCGCAAGGGCAATGCAGACCGTACAAAACCTACCAAGTGATAGTCTTCGCGCCGCCATTGATCCGATTCGATGAAGTAAACAGAACGGCTATTATGCAGGCGATTCTGCTGGTGCCATTGCAGCCCTTTATTACGGGTGCGGCCTCCCTGCACAAGTAGTTTCTAAGCACCTTGCTCTCATGACAGATGTGCGTTGTCTCCAGGTACGTCCAGGGTGCACCAGAAGGCACCAGCGGCAACGAAGGATACCCTTCCAACATCAGCGCTGTAATGGCGATCAGCGGTACTTTGAGGGGGGAAGCGTGCCCTCGCTCTTTTTGGAGGATGCTTGTGCGATGAACAACGCATGCGAACGCATACAATCATCCTGAGCAAAGTGTTTGAGGTACTGTAATTACGTTGACGTCGAGCCTTGGCTGCAGGGCTGTCTTACGTGCGGCACACTGAGAGCGAGCTGTTCTGTGCATCTGAGTACATGCAAGCTCATCAGTGCCTCATCACTGCTCCGCCAGCACCAGATTTGGTAGAAGAGGCCCAACTTGTGTACCGAGCGCTTGCTTGAGTGGCAGGTAAGCGTGTTGCACGAGTGACAGGAGACCACATTTATCTAAGCAATGCTCTTGCCAGATTTCACGCGGAGATGTTCCCCTTCTGCTTTGGCACGGACGACAGGATTGCGTCAGAGAGCATCAGACAGATACTCCGCCCTGGACTTGTCACCCCCAAAACAGCTGCGGAGCCTGTTGAAGCTCCAAAGCATCAAGCCAGCTTGATCTTCAACGACAGCTTCAAGAGAGGCCGCTTAAAAGAAGCGTGCGCTTGCCAAGAAGCAGCGAGGACAAAGTTATTCCTATTTCGGACGCCGTCGCCAATCTGAAGCGCGCTGAGGCCCGCAAAGTGTCATCATTAGTCATTAGTGTTTGCTGTGAAGTGAAGCGTTCTTGCAGGCTGTGGGCGTAATGAGCCTGCTGTTGGTAATCCCCGACGGCGGGCACGTGCCAATGAGCCAAGGCGGAGCCAAAAGAGCCAAGTTACTAGGTTAGTCTTAGTCTTAGTAGATGTTGCTAGTAGCTCTTCTATCATTAGTATTACTGCAAATTACTGCCATTGTAACCACTTTGTTCCTTATGAACGGAACATTCATTTTGTGGGGCAGAAGTGGGAAGGCTTCATTCGTGTCTGCTCCAATAGACTGGCAGAGACGGGAAGTGGCCTGGTCGCTTTGAGTTGCAGGCCTCGATCCTTTTGGTCCGTACCTGCCTCGCTGGCTGGCATTCCTGGCAGGCAACAGTCAAAACTCCAGGATAAGCCTCGCAGTCTTGCATAGTCTCACAGTTTCGGTAAGAAGTGGATCACGTTTCGGTGGGGTGCGATGCAGACATTGCTGTCCTCAACCCGCGCTTTGTCAGGCGCGCTGAAACTCACAGGCGCAGACTGCCGGTGTCCTGGTACTAGGTCAAGACAACCAAGCAAGCAGCCAGACCTTTGGTGAATGACTTGTACCCAGGCCCGCAGAGAGGCCTGATTGGGTTTGGATGAGCCTTCAGATAAACACCTAGACGAGGACTAGCTGCAGTCACGAGAGGCTGCTGCAATCTCGGTGCAGGTGCTGACCTCGCGCTGAAATTCAAATGATATGCATGACCACACATCTACGGCAGTTCTTCGAGTCTGTCGTGCCACCAGTTTCGCGTTTCCAGCCCTGGCCTTGCAAGAAAACATTGCAAGCCTGGGGTTTTAGTAACGGCAGGCCTTAGTCTCATAGCTTTGGCGTCAAAGTCGATGCCGGGTTCTGGGTGCTTCTAGTAGTCCCATCACCGTGCACTTCATGGAGGTGACCCAAATTCTATGCAGCGACTTAAGATACTCTGCGGATGTGTCAAGGTTTGGCAACACTAACACTGCGATAGCAAAGCATGTTCATGGCCTTAAGCTCAAGGAGCCCTTCCCATGCAGGCTGCAGATGTGCCCTCTTGATGTGATGGGACTGCCAGGTTGCCAGTAGCAATAAAAAGGTGCGTTGTTTCCGTGTCGTGGCGTGCTTAAGAACTGGTGTTGTGAAGATTCCAACGAAAACTCAGCACATAGCGCAATTCGATTGTGAGGCGACTGGTTTCTCAACCCGCCTCCGCCACCTTTGGAAGCTTCGAGCGTTCCTTGGGCTGCATGAGCACAGCTTCCGTCAACCTTACAAACTGCCACCGTAACATGATATATTATGATATAATCTAGTCTAATATACTATAAAAGCTCCAGGCAGCTCTTCCAGGCTTCGACGCGTTGCCGGAGTTGCCGTTGTGAGGATGGCTTCACAGCCCATGTCATGTGGCGCGAAAAAGACCGAACTGTGGGGGGGGGGGGGTTCTCAAAACAAGGCATGAAAGACTCGATTTATGTGGGCTCAGGTCACAATGAGATCATGGGCCCTCCATCAGGGATTAGCGAGGGGGCATTCTGAGGAACACCGGTGTGGCAAGTTCAGTAGTTGAGTGATTCTTCAACGTGAGCAGGGCCATGTGGACCAGTTTGTGCGATGTATGCGCGCAGTTCGAACTGAAAGTGCCAATTGCCTGGCAACGAAGCCGGAAGGCGGTTGGGAGCCTAGCATCAAGGGCCAATCCAGGCTGTCATTCGTACTATGGACATGGCCGCAGGCAAGTTCTTTTGGCGATTAATGTGCACGTTGCCACATGTTACTCATCAGAACTGCTCTATGTGATTTCATGTTAAAGGGTACAGAAGTCATCAGCTAGGCTGCTCTGGACATACCACCGGGAGAGAGCGGTGTGGCCAGCATCTCAGGAGGTTCGGAAGGTGGCGACAGAACCGCAAAACACGTGGAGGGTTTTCGCAACTGTCGCTCCACTTTCGTGGTCCTCGTGAGGATGATAATCCATTTTGGGTTTTTGTGGGCCTGAGCCCTAACTTGACAAGGAAAAACTGCTGCCTCTTTCTATTTGTTTGTCCAATTCTTGTGGGGAAGATAGCATTTCAAGGAAGCCTTGCCTTGTCCCAACTTACCAAAAGAGCCCCTCACTCCTGTTGGACATTATGTCTTATTTGGCTTCATATGGTGGTCCTGCGGCTGAGGTGGACCATCTCTCTCCTAATGCCAAGCTTGGCGAGAAGAAGGTTACGAAGTATTCATGGTCTACAAGGCCGAAGCAAGGTGCCCGGAAGAGCAATCTTGGATCTAGCCATCCAGTTGCAGAAATGAGGCCAGACTCAAACCACTCCCAACGAAGCTCCGCCCTGGCCAAGAGGAAGGTGCAAAGGGACTGCATCATCATAATGATGTCATAATGGCAACGCCGGGCAAAATGCAGGTGAGTACAGTGGCCACGCATGACCACATTCGTACCACAATGGCCAATACCCCGGCACTGCGATTCTTGCGGTTAATCTGCTTTGCATGCGTCGCACAGAAAGGTGCCAGCCGTCAGGATGGAGTTTTTCGAAGAACATCCAGAGTGATTGGGCCCATTTTGTTCAAGCAAAGCCCTCTCATCAGAAAAGTCTTGGTAACCACTCTCGGCCAAGTGTGCAGTTGTTTGCCAGGCGATCTCCGCTTTCTCGCTTCGGCGACCTAAACATCATGAATCCGAATCCTTTCTCAGGCGCACCTGCCAGACTCATTCTGCGGATAAAGAGTTGTAGTGAGCTCTGCAAAGGCCTCTGAGGCCAAACTTTTTGGATGTGAGGGTCCCTGACATTTCCGAAGTAGCTAATATCGCCACCCCTGAAGCTGACAAATGGGCCTGCGAATCTGCAGACGTCCAGAAATTAGCGCTCTTGAGTTCAGGGCTATTTCCAGGGCACTTTGAAACTATTATGTAAGGCGCCGAGAAAATTATGCCAGCCAATCTTGTGGCGACCGCCGGGATGAAGCCGTAAAAATGGAGTGCGAGAGATGGTGAAGGTAGACAGTATACTGACCGTGAATCTCGGTGAGACGTCCCAACAAGGCAATTGGCAAGTGGACGGAGCCAAAGATTGGTTTGCAGTTGCCGGCAGGAGAAGCCAAGTACCGAATGGCTCAGACAATGTCATCGCCTTTGCTACTGCAGGCGCGGTCCAGACATCGTTAAGTAAAGGAATCTCCCGCCTAAGGATGACCAACCACTGACCCACCATAGGCATACTAACCCAAAGTTTATAAATCATTGTAACGACAACGTTTCCTTCGTGAGCCTGGAGTTTGCCTTGGTTGCTGTTAGCTGCAGCTGCTGCAGCTGCTGCAGCTGCTGCTGCTGCTGCTGCTGCTGCTGCTTCTGCTTGTGTTGTTGTTGTTGTGGTGGTGGTGGTGGTGGTGGTGGTGGTGGTGATTCTTATCAACATCGCAAATGCGGGTGTGGAAAGGTTGCCACTTGTTTTGGGCTGTGTGACGAAACGCAGTAGTTTTTGCACGTCGATAGTTTTTTGAGCACAAAGTCGCTCGCAATGTTTGGTACTTGTATATGCAAGCGTCCATCTGCAATTTTGTTTTTGTGTGTGTTTTGCAAGCGATTTCAAATGATTTCGTGGCTGCGAGAAGCGGGGTCCTCCACGAAAACGCCGCGCGGTTTTCGACCTTTTTCGCGTGCTCAACATCCCGCGCTCGCGAACATGTGCATTTTCCTAGGGTCTTCTTGGGCTCGCTTCCATGGCTTTTTTGCCGTGTTTTTGTTGCTGCCACGTACGCGAACCAAACAGCTGGATCAGCGATGATCAGGGCTTAGAGCCAGCCGTGAAAGGGGTGCCATTCGTTTGCAATGTGATTAAACGCACTGGGGTTTGACACGCCGATCCTTTTTGAGGTCCAAAACCTCTCGCCGTTTTGCACAGTTTTCACTTGTGTAAGCAGATGTCCAGGTGCAATTTTGTGCGTGTTGCTGTGTTTTAACCACAATTTCACATGATGTTGTGATTGCCAAAGCACATGCGTTCAATTGCAGAAAACGTTCTATGGATGTTTTCGTCATGTTCAACGTCCTCTTCAATTTTCCACTGTTTCCCTCACGGTACTTGCCTGGCATCCGTCCCTAGCTCTAAATGAAAATCCGCCACTTGCGCAGTAATTCCCCCCCCCTTCACAGCAAGCCCAAAACCGCTCCTGGTACGAGAGGTCACAACCCTTTCCCAGCAAAACTGGCTTAGTTGTTGTTGCTGCTGCTGGTGGCGGTCCTTAAGTAAAGCGAATTGCCAAAACGATAAGTCACCTTTCAATACTTTCACGTACGAGATTTGAACAGTCATGCTGAGATACTCCAAATAGAAGAGGCGAAATGGAATCCTGGAAGCCACGTGGCCGTCATAACATTAGCCCCATTGAGGATGTTCGTGAAGTGTCTCCTTGGTGGCTGCCGCACAGAACATATTAAGCCCGCCAATCTCCAAAGCCCTTCTCCAAGCGTGAGACATGTCCATTGTCCATAGTTCAGGGCAAAGCTACGCTTCCGCAGATGCCGAGCCAAGCTTTGCCAGAATCTCAGATGCACTGGCCCCCAGTAAGGTATCAAAATTCTCCGGACTGTGGCATTTGTTTGGACCAGTTTCGGAAGGACCCTCCAGCCATCCTCAAGAGGCAAGAAGGAGCCTTCAGCCCAAGCTAGCACTCCCTCCAAGAAAGCTCGGAGTGTCTGAAGATGTGTGCAGGAGGCGACGCGCAGAGGCACTTTTGTTGGAGGCTCAGCGTTTCTGATGCATTGACTTTGCGCAAGAGGCCCAGCTTGGGGATCTTGGCTTCGCACAGGCGCGGATTCCTTTCGGGTTGAGCTCGGATGTGTACCCAAGAGTACATGTTGCAGAGAGAATCATCAAGTCAACAGCCCGTTCAGATGACAGCTCATGCCAGGTGCAAAGCAAGACAAGGCCAAGCTGTTGGGAAGTTCCTTCCGAGGTCTCAGCCCAAGCTCGTCAGGTATTCAGTGCATTTGCTGCCGACAATGCTCCAAGGTTGGCAATTTCCTGCGAACGTTCACCCAGACAGGTGCTGGCCTGTGTCAAGGTATGTTTATGCTAGGCCTGCAATGAAGAGATTTCTCTCCCTAAATCTTGTGGATGGTGCGAGCTGATTTGCTGAGATTACGAGCTGTCCCAGGTTTTATGAATCACTTCTGGACGAGGAGAAGCCAAGGCAAGAGCCCCAGTGCTTTCAGCCAGGCTTCATCAGACTTCTGGCGCGGGGCTGCTATTCAGACCCTTATGGAGAGGTATGGTGCCGGGGCACCTGCAAAATGGCCTTTGGGGCACGAGATGGAGTGACCGCCTCATTGCATTTACAGATCTGATTTCCATTCTGCTTCTAGAGCAGGGCATCGCGTGAGATCAGGTACGAGTGCCAGTTGGATGACATGGTACTTTGTAGCAAAGTGCGTGATGCCTACGAGGTCCTCTCGGTGGAAAGTGCAATGTTGGTGTTGTCGCCATGGGTGTAGTTGCACTTAAGCGCTTGCCTGGCATACATCACTGTGCGCAGCGTGGGGCTCCAAGCCATGACATAAACAAGAATGAGTTCGATTAGATCGCGGTGACAGGACATGGACTCGACCAGCAGGAGCTGGGCGAAGATTCGGGTACGCCAGCCCGCAGAGAAACCTGCACAGCCTCGCTATTACCGGCACTGGGGATCACAGTTTCGAGGAAGGCCAGCGGTTGGGATGGGCAACTTCGAGCTTTGGAGACACCGTTTTCTTGAAGGCCCTCACAGGCGGATGCAATCCTTAATCCCGGAGCCTGACCTCCGCGGGCCAAGTCCAGCAGCGCTCAGGCAAATGACGCCGGAGCCCGTAGCTGATGACTGGGAGGATCTTCAGCCTGATGTGCGTACAGACCGCATGGAGCGTCTAGAGATCCCAGAGCCCGCTTCGAAGGGCCGTGAGCTGTCCAAGACTTTGGATCGAAACCCGACTAACCAGACAAAAGCCAAAACCACCCGCGATTTAGGCATCCTGCCCAAGCCGACGAGTGAACCTCCCAGCTTTGGATATGGCATCCCTGCAGTGCTGAAGCCGCTCCCGCCTTGTGCTGTTGCTGCTACTGGAGAGGAAGCAGCTGACCTGCCGCCAGAGGAGCGGTTTCAGACAACCTACCGAGAGCAATTTCAGGCCCATGGTTCCGTGAATTTTCACACCCCAGAGTACTTTCCTCGGCGCTTCGTTCCTGCTGGCAATCGGCATGCGAAGGATATTAAGCTGAACGCTCTGGGCGCCCATGTAGCAAGAGCAGGTTGAAGTCCCTGCAGTGCGGTGTAGTAGCGTGGTGGCAGATGCCATAGTGGTGTGAGGAAGTCTGAAGATGTCCCAACCATCCCACAACCATCTGCTGGATCGGTGCAACATGCACTGCTCAAAAGCTTCCGCTACCCAGGCCCTATGATAGGGTTCCCTGGTATCCTTTAGTTGCTTTCGCCAACATGGCGGTCAAGCGGTCCTCTGTGAAAAAGGTGTGTGAAGCAGGCCGGGCGCAGGATCTGAAGTTTGAGGCAGTGTGCGCTGTGCAGGTGGGCTTTCGTGGAAAGAAGCGGGACAAACCCACAGCAATGGAGCAGCTCTTGGGGGGAACAGGTTCCCCAGCCCGGTTTGCATCAATAGCATAGATGTCAGGGACTTCAAGCCGAACTTCTAGGGGTCCATCTGCTGCGCAAATTGAGCAGAAGAGCGCAGAGAGAACTGGCTAGAACAATGGACAACTTGCTTTTCTTCAACTGCATCTGCAGGTGACTCGATGAGGATTCGGAGAATTGCCAAGGTTGAGCAGGCGGCCCTTGCATATCTTTGCGCAGCACGGACGGAGGAACAAGAAACGTGTCGTACTGCTAGCTCTGTCTCGGTCCTAAATCTTCCAAACAGCCAGCAGCAATGCGGCCACTCCGGCAGGTGAGCTGCGACAATTGCGGCAGGAACTTGGCAGATGCTGACAAGTCAGAAGGACCGCTGCATGCAGATTTCCAAAACTTGCATGCTAATTGGTTGGCTTTGTTGGCAGCGTGAATTCAACCTCACTGTTGCTACAACAAGCAAGGAGGGCGCTTCTTCTATTACTGCCGGCGCTGCAAGCGAAGTGGCCACAGGCATTAGTCGCCAGTAACCTGCCAAACTTGTCGGCGCGAACCCCGGCACTGGCAGGTTCGAGCTATGTATCGCATGCCATGTGCTTGAAGTTCTTCAGGGTGAAGGCTGGTCTGCGGAAGATCTTGTCACAACGTTATACCGCAGTATAGCAACCATGTACATCCATGTACTGCCTTCTCGGTGGTCGAGGCAAGTACAGCGGTACTGGTTTCCATCCCCATTACTTGAAGTGCCAGCATGCGCCTTAGTGAAGCTGCAGCTGCGCAAACTGTGCCGGTGACTTTTGGCGGTGCCAAGGCATAGCATGCTGATTCGCAGGCAAAGCCTGGAAAATGCCTATCCAAGCCAGAGGCCCAAATTCATATTCAGTTAGCAATGACCATTTCC